GACAGAAGCAGATTGCTTCCTCTAATGCTGGGTATTTTTATTCTGAGGGTGTGTCTAGACTACAGGGTTTTTTCAAAAAAAGTGGCCTTTTTTTCTAAAAAACTTCACCTGTGTCTAGACTGCTACCGTGTTCTTTAAAAAGTAAATTGAAAGAACGCGGCATTTTTTTCAGCCTCAGAAAACCTCGTTTTACGAAGAATAACGCCTTTTTTCAAAGGTGCTTTTTCGAAAAAAGGTGCTATGTAATGCAAACTGCTTTTTCGAAAGAGAGCATCCAGACTGACTGGGTGCTCTCTTTTGAAAACGGCTTGTAGTCTAGATGCTTTTTTTTTTTGAAAGAGGCTTACAGTCTAGACAACAAGCGTCTAGACCTATTCTGCAGAAAGGTTTATTCATTGGCCATTTTGATTTTAAGAATGGTCAATTATGTCGCTCTCCTGGCCAATCATAGCTTTGATAATTATTCAAAGTTAGTACTACTTCTAGAACATTTGCCAGACAGTAAATGTTGGGTTCTCAAAGCAGTGGTACAAGAGGGATACACGGCCTCTCGAACAGTCCTTCACATAGCATTTGATAACCCAGACACGGCAGCACGAAACACTGCTACATCAGTGATCATGCATAGGACATGATGGCTACAGCAGGCAGCAGTCCCGAAAGATCTTCAGTCAAAGGTAGAAGATCTACCTTTTGGCAGACAGAGCCTATTTGTGGAAAAGACCTATAAGTCCTTCATAGGACTCCAGAACAGCTCTCAGGATATTAGGCATGTATATCCCACTATATCGTCGAAAGCATTACGTACCTTATCACAAACAAAGGCCTTTCTCATATGCAACGCCTCATTACAGGCAATATGATCAGCAGCGCAACAATAACAAAAATGATGTCCTCTAAACAACAGAGCGTCCAACCAACAAAACACCAGGCAGTAGGTTTGACGCGTCGGTCGAGGGCTTGCAGATCATTCTGTTAACCGATAACCAACACGTCCCCGCACTTTTTCACCATCGTTTGAGGCCATTCCAACAACAATGGGCCTCCATCACCACCAACCAATGGGTCCTACAGCTGATTACATCAGGCTACACCATTTCCCTTGTTTCGTTCCCTCCTTCCTCCTCATCCCTCTTCAGGGACCCCTTTCATGAGTCTCTTTTGAAACAGGAGGTTTCTCGTCTTCTGATTATTGGAGCAGTAGAGAGGGTACCAAAGGACTTCAGAGGCAAGGGATTTTATTTCCACTACTTTCTGACCCAGAAGAAATCAGGAGGCTGGAGGCTAATTTTGGACCTTTGGCGGTTGAATCGGTACCTTCACAAACAAAGGTTCAAGATGGTGACTAGTAACTATCATTCCAGCACTCAACAGCAGAGATTGGTTTGCATCCCTTGACCTACAGGACGCCTACTTCCACATGACTAATCATCAGGCACACAGGCGCTTCCTACGTTTTCTAGTTAGTTCCGAGCACTTCCAATACAAAGTTTTGCCCTTCGGCCTTTCATCAGCTCCCAGGGTTTTCTCGAAGACACTGGCAGTCGGGAATCATCATATTTTCTTACCTCGATGATTGATCAGAGCCCCCTTGTTCGACGAAACACTTCATGCTACCAACCCAACGAGGGTAGCATTTGAGGCACTTGGACTTACAATCAACATTCCAAAGTCATCCATGACTCCACAGTGGTCCATAGAATTCATAGGTGCATGCCTCGATTCCACCATGGCGCACGCATACTTACTCGCAAACAGGTTCCAGTATATTCAAGACCTCGTGCAAGTTCTCTCCACCATTCCCAGAACTTTTATACTTACCTTCCAACAGCTCACGGAACAGATGGCAGCTATAGAATCATAGAATAATAGGACTGGAAGGGACCTCAATAGGTCATCGAGTCCAGCCCCCCGCCCTCAAGGCAGGACCAAGCTCCGTCTACACCATCCCTGACAGATGTCTATCTAACCTGTTCTTAAATATCTCCAGAGAGGGAGATTCCACCACCTCCCTTGGCAATTTATTCCAATATTTGACCACCCTGACAGTTAGGAATTTTTTCCTAATGTCCAATCTAAACCTCCCCTGCTGCACTTTAAGCCCATTACTCCTTGTCCTGTCCTCCGAAACCAAGAGGAACAAATTTTCTCCTTCCTCCTTGTGACACCCTTTTAGATATTTGAAAACCGCTATCATGTCCCCCCTTAATCTTCTTTTTTCCAAACTAAACAAGCCCAGTTCATGAAGCCTGGCTTCATAGGTCATGTTCTCTAAACCTTTAATCATTCTTGTCGCTCTTCTCTGTACCCTTTCCAATTTCTCCACATCTTTCTTGAATGACTATGTCATGACATATGCAAGGTTGCATCTCAGGTGCTTTCATCATTGGCTAACCATGGTATGTATGCTAAAGAGGCACGACATTCACATGATTGGGGTGGTGCTTCCTCATGTCAAAAAATTGTTAACATAGTGGACCATACCCAACAATATGTAGAGTGGAATACCTTTTTACCAACATCAACCAACTATGCAGATCACCACCAATGCATCACTGCTAGGATGGGGTGCCCACCTATAGGACTGACAGATCCAAGGCCGCCAGTCTGCACAGGAATCCTTGCAGCACATCAGCTTCCTCGAGTTGAGGGCCATCTTCAATGCTTGCAAACACTTTCTCCCTCTTATTCATGGTCACATTATTCATATTCTCACTGACAATATGACAACGGTATATTACATAAACAGAAAAGGAGGGGTTTGGTTCCACTCCTTCTGTATGGAAGCAATACGATTATGGAACTGGTGCAACCAGCACAAAGTTGTGATTATGGCAGCGTACCTCCCTGGAACAGAGAATGTCACAGCCAATGCTCTCAGCAGGCATTTTATAGCCATCATGAATGGGAACTACACTCAGACATGCTCCATGCACTCTTTCGCCTATGGAGGTGTCCATCCATAGACCTCTTCGCTACACATCACAATGCAAAGTGCCCTCAATACTGTTCGAGAGCAGGAATCAGACCGGGATCCAGGGGAGATGCTTTCCTATTCGACTGGAGTTGTCACCTTCTGTACGCCTTTCCTCCGACTCCTCTCATTCCCAAAGTTCTAGAGAAGTTAGCCATGGACAGGGCCAGAGTAATATTGGTGGCCCTCTTTTGGCCACATAGGAAGTGGTTCCCTTTCCTGTCTTGCATGTCACCTTATAGACTCATAGACTCACAGACTTTAAGGTCAGAAGGGACCATTATGATCATCTAGTCTGACCCCATGCACAGTGCAGGCCACAAAATCTCACCCACCCCTCCTAGAATAATCCTCTCACCTATATCTCAGATATTGAAGCCTTCAAATACTTTGAAGACCCCAAGATGCAGAGAATCCTCTAGCTGTGATCTGTACCCCATGCTACAGAGGAAGGTGAAAAACCTCCATGGCCTCTGCCAATCTACCCTGGAGGAAAATTCCTTCCCGACCCCAAATATGGCGATCAGCTAAACCCTGAGCATGTGGGCAAGACTCATCAGCCAGACACCCAGAAAGTTCTCTGTAGTAACTCCTATCATCCCTCCATTGACCTATTTCCCACTGATAATGAATGGTCAGTTAGTTACCAAGATCATGTTATCTCATCAAACCATCCCCTTCATAAACCCATCTAGTGTAATCTTGAAACCAGATCTTATCCTCTGTGTCATCTCCCCAGATTGCAGTTGATACATCCTCAGCCCGATCACCTCTCTTTGACAGCATGGTTGCTAGTTGGTTCCAATAAATAGAGATGAGTTGTTCCCAGGCTGTCAGATATGTTCTGTTACATAGCAGAAGATCCAATATGCATGCCACCTACCTGCATAAGTGGCGTCACTTCCATTCCTGGTGTTCCAACACCAACCTTGACCCGTACACAGTTCCTATTCATCACATATTGGACTATATTCTTTACCTCAAACACTCTGGTCTCGCATTCTCCTCTCTTAAGGTTCACCTAGAGGCAATCACTGCCTTCCGATACTCTGTGGACAGCTATTCTGTTTTTTCCCCACTCAGTGACAAAGAGATTCATGAAAGGGCTGGCTAATCTCTTCCCATGCCACAGGCAGCCTCCGGACCCTTGGAACCTAGAACTAGTTTTGGACACCTTAATGAGGCCCCCATTTGAACCACTAGCAACTTGTGACTTATCTTCCTTAATATGAAGGTTGTTTTTTTGTTAGCGGTAACATCAGCACACAGGGTTGGAGAATTTTCCTCCCTTTCCGCGACACCACCATACACAGTATTTATGTTCCAGGAAGTCGTACTGTGACCCCAACCAACATTCCTATCAAAGGTTAATTCGGAATTTCACATAAATGAACCAATAGTCTTCCCCACATTCTACCCCAAGCCACATTCCTCAGAACAACATGCACGACTGCACACCTTGGACATTTGTCGAGTGTTAGCATTTTACATTGACAGGACACAGACCTTTCAAAAATCTCAGTCCTATTCGTATCCACAGCTGACTGTTCCACAGGTCACCCACTATAGGCACAATGCATATCCAGACTCTGTCTCATGCATTATATGGTGTTACTCACTGCAGAACAAGCCAGTCCCACACACCCTGAGAGCCCACTCAATGAGGGCAGTAGCAATTTCCACTACTTTTCTCAAAGGAGTTCCTCTGAGGGACATTTGCTATGCAGCTACATGGTCTTCCAACTTTACATTTGAAAAACACTATGCTATTCCTAATATCTTCATGACTGACTCAGCAGTTGCCTCCACTGTCCTTTCCACGGCAGCAAGGCACTAACTCCAAATCCCGCCTCCTTAAGTCAGGCTACTGCTGTGAAGTCACCTACAGTGGAGCATCCACAGGGACACTACTCAAAGAAGATACTTACCCTGTGCAGTAACAGCAGTTCTTCGAGATGTGTATCTCCATGGGTGCTCCATGATCTGCCCTTCTCCCTATTTTGGAGTATCTCCTTATGTTTTCCAGACTCTCGACGTTCAGGAGGAACTGGCAAGAACTGGATCATGTGCTCAGAAGCAACGCGAGCAGCGCAAGACGTCCAACGTACATGCGCTATCCGGAAGACTGCTGCTGAAAAAAATCTCAGATCTGCAGTGCCAGGACAAGTCCAAGACCTACATTGGAGCATCCACGGGGACACACATCTCAAAGAACCGTCATTACTACACAGGGTGAGTAATTTCCTGTTATTTCAAAATAACGTTGCTGTGTAGACATACTCCCTTGGACTTGATCCAAAAGCTTAGCAGCTTTTTATTTGATTAAATCCTAAAGGTATTGGTAAATTGGTGGAATTAAGGGAAGAGTAATAAGAATGATATGGGAGGTTGGAGGTTTTTTGCTTCTAAGAAAAGATTAAAAGAAGTTAATATGTACCTCTTGTCTAAGTTAAAGCCAGGGGGAGAAGTGAGCATGATTACTTCAAGTTCCTGTAAGTGGTTACCACAGCAGAGAGAATAGTTCAGAATTGTACAAGAGGGTATAGCTGGGACAATAGGAAGGGTCTGAACAAAGGGAAAAAGTAGACTGAATATCAGCATTACATTCTTAATAATGATGTCTGTATCTCGAAGCAATTCTAGTTCATCTCCCTGAATTAAATTCTTTTTGGACTAAATAACATTCATTGTTAAGAGGTGATCCCTGTTGGGGATTTCATGGTATGTATGGAGGGTTTCTGGAACATGTGAGTTTGGAACTATTGAGACTATCTTGGCAGATTTCTGTTGCTCTTTATAGGAGAATCACCTGATCCTTGCTCAGGTGTGACTCCTTAGTAACTAAAATTGGCTAGCCCAGACCTCTAGAGTTTCAGCGGCAAGCCTATGTTCTACTCCCACTAAAAATAACAAGGGCAATTGCTGTTGATTGTAATAAGAGAAGGACTGAGCCCTTACAGACCTATCTAACTATATATATAAATTAATCCAGCCAACTGCCTTTAGCATTCAAGATTGTTAAAAATTTAGTCAATAGTATTGTACTTTTGCATAACAGTACTATTCCTTCTATTTTTAAAAGATAGCATAAAAAGCAACACGTAGTGATTAAAACCCATAATTTGCACCAGATACATTTTACCTGAGTAATAGTTAAAATAATTTTAATATATGAAAAATACTGAGGGTTTTCTGATCCTAAAGTCAGCAGCAGTTGGCTGTATGCTGACTTTTAAACCCAAGGCTGTCTCATATGGCTTTTTAAAGTTGACACAGCTCAGACTAAAGACTATTTTGAACCCATTTTTCCTATTCTGTACAGAGACTATGTTGAGTTCTCAACTTTTAATAATATTCAAAAACTTTTGAAAACACACTTTGGCCTAAAATCTGTTATTTCTTCTTTGAGTGATGTTCCCATGAGTGCTCCACTGTTGGTGTTGGGTTGTCCCAGCACCATAGATCAGAGTTTTTCCTAACAGTAGCTGGTTGGGCTGCTCATGCACTTCATGAGTGCGGCCCGACTACCCTCAGTTCCTTCATTACTGCCCTCGGTCGCACGTAGAGCTCAATCTCTCTCTATCCTCAACTTACCTAGATAAAGAAAAATATACTTATAAGTAGTTGGTTATCACTATTTCTTTCTCTCATTACTCAGTTATTATTGTTTTTAAAAAATAATTTTTTCTTCATGTACATAGTTTAAAAAAAACCTGAAAGCAAGCAAATAAACAGCACACAATAGGAATAGATCCAAGCTGCGGTCTTTTTGGGTGCTGCATCTCCTTTTTTAAAAAAAAGAAAGATGAATGAACTGCCATATAATCAGTGGCATGATTAGCCTAAGTGCCACCATGGCAGGAACTTCCAGATTCAAGAAGTGCGACACTTGTCACAAGCCTATGCCAGCCTCACATGGCCATTCTTCATGCATCTGAGACCTTGGAGAAATACACGTTCCTCAGAAGCGTGTTCAATGCTGCAGCCTCTTAGCCAGAGCACGCAGAGACAGGGAGTTCAATATTTATATGCTCCTCTGTGATAAGGCCTTATGGCTCTCAGACTTCTGAGAGAATAGTAGCCAGGCTGAGTCTGCCAGTACCCAGAAGAAATGGGCAAATTTTCCTACATCAAAACTACCTGCACAGAAAAAGATATCTCCAGCCCATTCCTTACCACCCAGGGTCAGTATGGGTGACAAACCAGGCACATCTGGCCCTACACACTCCCATGCCATGTTGGTCATGGAAACAAAATTGTTACATTCTTAGACTGCAGTACCCGGCACGAGCTGAAGCCCGGGAGCCAGACAAGCCTTTGGCACTGCCTGCGCTGCAGGTGCCGACTAAAACATTAGCACCACAAAAGGCACATTCCAAATTGGCCAGACCCCTACCTGGACACCAAGTCTGGAACCGGTGCAGTCTCCTCCATCACCGATGCCTCCTCCATCAGCACTGTGCTCGGCGGCACCATTAGACAATGCCTCAGTTCAGCACTGCTCTTTCTTGCACAGAAGTGATTGCAATACCCCGGTACCAACTATGGTACCATGTTTGACATCAGTACCCAGCACCGCTTCAAGGCAACTATCTCCATCCCCTTTGTCATCAAGGGGGTCTCCACGTTCACTCAGATCACTGGTACAGACTCATCATGGTGAATTTGAGGATAACCAGAGGAGTGTATTCTTCTACCAACATTCATCTCCTGCCAGATCACATGTACCCTATGATAGGCATAGACCAGGATATCCTCATCACCCCTCATGGTCTCAGACTGGTCTTAACCATCTGCATCATTAGGGCTTCGGCCAGCCTGCCCCTGCACTTGCCAGCTGGTAAAATCTACTCGCCACAGGCAAGCAGGCGAGTGTATTTGTCAAGCCCTGTCCATCACCATCATGACAGACAATACCACCTGCATGTACTACATCAACCAGCAGGGCAGTGCTCGATCCCCATTCCTGTGAGTGGAGGCCATTAAATTCTGGAATTGGTGCCTCACACATCAGGTCACTCCAGTAGTCACGTACCTCCTGGGAGTACTCAATGTCACAGCAGACGCCCTAAGCCACACGTTCCACAATCAGCACGAATGGGAGATAGACATGCTCTCACGCAGGCGAGTGTATTTGTCAAGCCCTGTCCATCACCATCATGACAGACAATACCACCTGCATGTACTACATCAACCAGCAGGGCAGTGCTCGATCCCCATTCCTGTGAGTGGAGGCCATTAAATTCTGGAATTGGTGCCTCACACATCAGGTCACTCCAGTAGTCACGTACCTCCTGGGAGTACTCAATGTCACAGCAGACGCCCTAAGCCACACGTTCCACAATCAGCACGAATGGGAGATAGACATGCTCTCACTCCCCTCTTCCTCCAGTGGGGCCAACCAGACATAGACCTCTTTGTCACAAAAAGCAACAGGAAGTGCCATCTCTATTGCTCCAGAGGAACTCTGAGAAAACATTCCCTTGGAGATGCCTTTTCCATCACGTGGGATGCTCCCCTTCTTTATATGTTCCTTCCCTTCCACCTTCTACACCAAGTCCTCAACAAAATCAGAGTGGACCAGGCTCAGGTGATATTAGTGGCACCCGCATGGCCCAGACAGACGTAGTATCCTTAACTTCTCAGGATGACGAAGACAGACCCATATCCCTTCCCACTCCACCACAATCTTCTGTCATAGCATCATGGGAAGACGCTCTATCCGGACCTCCACAAGATCCATCTCCATGCTTGGCTCCTTCATGGCTCCACGATGACAAGATTACCTGTTCGGAACAGGTGAAAGAGATATTAATCAATAGTAGAAGGCAATGCACCAGGAAAACATACTTATACAAATGGAACCGCTTTTCTCACTGGCACAATCACCTACACACAACACCTCTGGAGTCTGTCCCCCTCCCTACCTTGTTGGACTACTTACTATCTCTCAAACAGTCGAGCCTTGCCCTTAGCACTATCAAGGTCCACGCAGTTGCCATAGCTACCTTTCATCATCCTATCGATGGAGTTTCCTTCTTCACTAACCCATTAACTAAACGCTTCCTTAAAAGTCTGCAAAACACCTTCCCTCCAATCTGTCCACCAGCCCCCGTCTGGGATCTGAACCATGTCCTAAAAGCCTGACGAAGCCACCATTCAAACCTCTAGCGACCTACTCTTGATTTCATCTGTCCATGAAGGTGTCTTTTCTCGTCGCAGTTACCTCCAGCAGGAGGGTGAGTGAACTCACGGGCTTGATGACTGATCCTGCATATACAGTGTTCACAAAGGACAGAGTGATACTCCAACCCCACCCAAAATTCCTCCACAAAGTACCTTTCCACGTTAACAAACCCATACGCTTACCTGCCTTCTTTCCGAAGCCACATGCCGACCCAATCCAGGCTGCATTGGCACACTCTCGACGTCTGATGGACACTGACATTCTATGTTGATTACACTAAGCCATGGTGAGCCTCACGTAGGCTTTTCATCTCCTACACTGAAAGATCTAGAGGACAAGCAGTCTCGTCTCAGAGAATCTCGAAATGGATCACCTCATGTATCAGAACTTGTTATACCTTATATGACAAACACTTACCTGAAACCATTATGGCTCATTTCACCAGGGCGGTGTCTTCCACAACTGCCTTCCTTAACAACGTTCCTCTTCAGGACATTTGCAGTACCGCCACTTGGTCATCTGAGCACACATTTGTGCAACACTATGCACTCTCCTCTTCAGTTGCATCCTCCATGGTGGTGGGACACGCAGTACTGCCCACAGTGACTACCACATGGCTCTGAACCCATCTCCATGAGCCGACAACTGCTCAGTAGTCACCCAGAGTGGAGCACCCACGGGGACCACTCAAAGAAAAAGAGGGAGTTACTCACCTTGTGCAGTAATGGTGGTTCTTCGAGATGTGTCCCCGTGGGTGCTCCACTACCCTCCCTCCTTCCCCTGCTTTGGAGCCTTGTCCTCTAGTAGGTAGAGGAGGAATGGAGGGGCCGCGCCGCACATGCGCCTGAAGATTCCAACGGCACGAGAGGGTGCTGCGCCGCCTGCACGGCACAGCAGAAACTGCTAGAAAATGTCTCCAGTCGTTGGCCCCAGGATGCACCAGCACCCACGGGGGAGAACCACCATTACTGCACAGGTGAGTAACTCCCTCTTCCATCTCAGAGGCAGAGAAACTTCACCTATTCTAGCCATCAATAGAAGAACTTTGACCAGGGTTGCTCTAGAGCAAAGACCCAAAAGAGACAGGCTCTCAACACCCACCCATCCACTCAGCATTCTTCCAAGCAGCAATTTTGAGACATTGGTCAGGGGTCTGCCCGACCTCCTATTAGCCAGTATCTTACAACTATGAGGCAACTTTCCACCTTCATTTGCGCCCTTTCTATCAACAATGGGCAGCAATTACTATGGACGGATGAGCCCTTGAAATTGTTAGATGCAAATACACCATCCCCTTCATCTCCCTTCCTTCAACCTCCCCACCCTCCCCATCCCTCTTTAGGGACTTCTCTCACAAAAAAACTCCTAAAGCAAGAAGTAGACCATTTGTTACACATAGGAGCTGCAGAAGGAGCATGTCCAACATGCATGTCTGCACTTTTGGTGCCTTCAGCATTGGCTTTTCTTAGTATACACCCTCTCCACGCACCACGCACACAAGCAAGTTTCTCTTCCTCCAGAAGTCCTTGCGTCACTATACTGGTGGACCAATCTTAACAACCTCCTCATAGGTGCGCCATTCCACCAGACACAGTCCTCCTTCCAGAATACCACCAACACTTCCCTTCTTGGATGGGGTGCATATCCTCAGTGTCAATTTGCTCAGGGCAGATGGTCTTCCCACAAAGCCTGTCTCCACATCAGCCTATTGGAGCTTTGAACTGTGCGCAATGCATCAGAGCACTTTCTCTTGGACATTCCTGGTTGTATGGTTCATATCCTAACTGACAAGGTCACCATGATGTTCTACATCAAACATCAAAGGGTAACTTGTTCTTGCTCCCTCTGTGCAGAGGCTGTCCACCTGTGGAACTGGTACATCCACAACAGCATCAGTCTATTAGCGTCCTACCACTTGACACCAAGTATACAACCCCAGATACCCTCAGCCAACACTTTGCTATAGACCACGAATGGAAACTCCACCTATGCATTCTTCATACTATATTTCTGAGATGGGGTTTTCCTCCAGTAGATCTATTCGTGTCACATCTAAATACCAAGTATCTCCAATACTGTTCCAGAGCAGGCTTGGGACCAGGATCACTGGGTGACAATTTTCTCATTACATGGGACACTCATCTGTACTATGCTTTTTGCCCTAATTGCTCGCATTCCAAGGATCCTCTGCAAGATCAAAAAGGCCAGCATCCTCATCATTCTAATAGCCCCCTGCTCCAGATAAGCTTGGTTCCCTTATCGCTCTCTGGCTATGTCTAGACTACACCTCTCTGTCGACAGAGAGCTGTAGATTAGGCACATCGAAATTGCTAATGAAGCTGGGATTTAAATATCCTGCACTTCATTAGCATAAACATGGCCACCGCTTTTTTTCAAAATGGAGCTTTTTTGAAAAAAATGGCAGTCTAGATGTGAATCTGTCGAAAATAAACTCTTTTTCGACAGATCCTGTAAACCTCATTTTTTGAGGAATAAATGCCAGCTTCATTAGCAATTTCCACATGCCTAATCTTCACCTCTCTGTCAACAGAGAGGTGTAGTCTAGACACAACCTCAGATATCTTTTCAGTCTCTTTACCCTCTTCCGAATCATCAAGACCCCCTCTCAAAAAACAGAGGCACCTTTCTCCATCTCCAACTGCAAACACTACATCTCACAGTTTGGCTAGTGTCTGATTCAGCAAATCTGAGAGACTCTGTTCAGACCAAGTAAAGGACATTGTGTTGCATATTAGATGCCAGGCTACTAGAAATACTTACCTGTGCAAGTGCAAAAGTTTTGTAGCCTGGCGTTCCAGGAAGCAGATTGATCCATCTTCTGCACCTCTTCATATAATCCCACCATGGAAATAACAATGAATATCAGTTTCCCCCGTTAGGTTACACCTGACCATTCTGACTGCATTTCACCCCCCAGAAGAGTAATTCTCAGTCTTTCTGCATCCTATCAAAAGGAGATTCCTCAAGGGCCTTCACAACTTTAATCTCCCATGTAGGCCAGTACCTCCATCATGGACCTAGAGCTGGTTCTCGACACACTAACTAGACCTCCCCGCCTTTGAATCTCTGCCCACCTGTCCCCTCCTACTGCTGACAATGAAGACAATGTTCCTACTAGCGATCACATCAACGAGGAGAGTTAGTGAACTTGATGCCCTTGCAGCAGCTCCTTCTTAAATGATCTTATAAATATTTCTGAAAATGTGTGTGTGTGTTTGTTTGTTTGTTTGTTTGTTTGTTTGTTTGTTTGTTTGTTTGTTTGTCCTGGAAGATCTCCGAAACGGTAAGAGCTAGAATCATCAAATTTTGCACGGATACTACTGATTTCCTAACTTAAATAACTGGATTGGTTATATCTCAAAATGGGTTCCCCCGATTCCTCCAGAGCCCCAATTGGGCCCACTGATAATTCTTAAAGATCTCCAAAATGGAAGATCTCTGAAACAGTAAGAGCTACAGGCATTATGCACTTTGCAGGATTCAGCTCACAGTACAAAGAGGAGACAGGTAGGAGGACAAGGTCTTGAGCACCATGGAAGCTGAGGAGGACACGGTACATTCAGAACAGCCAATTCTCATTAGAACAGGTACATTCAGGTGCTGCATGTTCTGATCATCTAGATATCACTCATTGCACCTGGTCTGAAGGTGTTTCACTTTGTCTGATCAATGCAACCACTCCAGCTGCCACTAGGAACTCCATTCAGGTTACCCCATGGAGCGAGCACTGAAGGCACTCGAGGAGTGGCTACTTGGGGGGCAGTGATTTGCTGCTGCTGCAGATCCCAGGAGGCATCCCCTCCATTTCTCAGGGGCTCTGGCAAGGAGGCTGCAGGCATTAGTTTGCATAGAGTCTTTAAGGGAAGATGGGCCTTCCTGATTTGTGGGGATTGAGAAAAGAGACCCTATTGGATTTGTAAGCACATCACTAGCTATGTTAATTTCTTAAAATAATATATAAGAGAAAAGTATTTCCAATTAAATATGCTAAGTTAATTGACGTAGTTTATTCATCACACCTTTTACTATATTTTCCCCGGGCGACACTGGTTATTTCTGCTAGTATTCTAGATGGATAAGGTCATACTCTATTATTCCTTCATACCAAAAGTATGCTCTGATTTCCACATCAATTAACCTGTCATCCTCCCTACCTTTTATCCAAAGCCTCATGCCTCATGAGAAGATACCATTCTGCACACCCTCGATGTTTGCAGGGTATTCTCTTTTTATATTTATCAAACTCAGACTTTCCACCACTCACAGCAGTTATTTGTTTCAATTGCTGAATGTTCCAGTATCATCTCAGCACATTTCCAAAATTATAGTGTTATGCATCACGTACTCATTATGAAACAGAGCATGTCTTGTTCCCCCTAAGGCACATTCCACACAAGCTGTCTCTACATCCATAGCCTTCCTCAGGGGTGTACCACTTCAGGACATTTGTTATGCAGCCATGTGGTCATCGAACCACACTTTTATGAAACATTGTGCAATGTCAATACAAATAGCTAGGGGCTTTTCATTTGTTAATGTTGTAATCTCCACTTCTGATAAGCGCTGACTCTGAAGCCCACCTATCATCTAGTTGATTATCACTTTGTAGTTACCAACAACATAGTGCCCATGGGGACATCACTTGAGGAAGAAAAGGAAGTTACTCATCTCTTGTAGTAATGACGGTTCTTTAAGATGTGTGTCCACAACCCAACCTTTCTCCCCTTTTCTTTCGTCTGGGTCCTAGCCAATCAGGCATACACACAGAAACTGAAGTGAGTCAGGCCATGCACACAAAGTGCAAAGGCACGAACAGCACGAGGTGCCTATCACACATGTGCAGCCTAACCAGCTACTACTAGGAAAAACTCTGATCTGCAGCACCAGGATGACCCAACACCAACAGAGGAGCATCCACGAGGACACACATCTCGAAGAATCATTGTACTACACAAGGTGAGTAACTTCCTTTTTCTATGAGGTGGCTAATAAGCATCTGAGTGCTAAAGAACTTATGTTTTATATCCTTTCTTAGGTGAGTTTATCTGGGAGAGATATTGAATAAATGAACTTCTAACCTACAGAGATAGTATTGAAAGATGTACTGGTGGAAAGCAGGAGAAGATGCTTTTAAGCTGTGGACAGAAATCATGAGTATCAATTCATTTCACAAACGTTGCAAAGATTTTAACTAGCTGTGCAGGAGAGAAAGATTCTATGCCCTATAGCCAGTTCCTAGAGTTCTCCAGGCCCCCTTCTATGAATATTAAAGGGGAACATTATTCCTACTTCTCCATGGCCATGGACATCCTTGGTCTACAGCGCACACAGTCTGGTTCAGTTCCACAAACAGGACAACAGTTTAGGAGCCTGGTGTGTATGCTGCCTTCATGATGCAGGGATCAGTTGCATGGGGATTATCAGTGCATGACTACAGATGGAGCCCAAGGAAGGTAAAGGCAGGAACCAGTGGATCTAAACATATGTAAACATATTGGTCATATTCTGCTTCATAAGATGGGGAACCAATTGACCAAAAGCTGATGAAGCTAAAATAATGGCCATTGTGGCTCAGCTGCCACTCAAAGATTCCTTCTTTCTGTTGGTCCTCCAGTGTCAAGCGCATATACTTTGGAGCAGCACTAAAGAGAGACTGTACCCCACAAAGACTGTTTACTATTAAAGTGAATATGGTTGCCATATTTGTATTATATTATTGTTAGTTAGTGGCTGCATTTGTGAATAAAAATGAAATTTTAAAAAAGGAAAACAGTATTTTTCGCTTACTGCGCCCAACACTTGTGAATCAGACTAGTTTTCAGATAATTTATAGAACCTTACTTGCCATAACAACATGATTGTTCAGTGAAGCACAAATATCTAGCAGAGTTGGCATTATCATGAAATAATTGGCCTTAGCACTGGCCCTTCTTGAAGAAGCTGCACTAAAAATCAAGATTGCTTTATGTCAGCATGGTCACTTATAGCACAGTAATGATAGATGACTCACAGTAGCATCATCAATGTGTGATTACAAATTGCAGTATGTACTTAAGCAAGCAGATAGACACTAAAAAACGTTTTTCCTCATTCCCAAAACAATGCATAAAGTTATGTCTCAGCATTTAGTGACCTCAGAACAATTCTACCTTGGTTAATAAGCATCCCAGAAAGTTAGGGCATAACTAACTGTTCATACACATAAGCCACAAGGCAGAAGAAAATACTGCTTGCTCTGTACTTCCACGTGAACACGCAAGAGAAAGTCCTGAGAGAAAATGGGCTACATTTTTAGAATCCTTGTTCCACTAAGTCTCATGCATTCTCATGCCCTAAAATTTAGGAAAGGGTCATTCAGCCCTCTGCAGAAGGAATGTGTTTAATTTAAAATGAAGCCAGTTTGAGTTTTTCTTTTAGAATTAACAGAACACCTACAAGCTGAATTCACTGCTAGTATATAGTGGTATGAATCCAATGGTGGTATGCTTCTTTGCACTAGTGTTGACATAGGTCTTGTTGTGATATTGTTATGAAGCTTTGAGTGTTTTCTGACATGGAAACTGACATGACTAAGAATTGTAGTAAAATTTTTCCATCTGTAATTCTTGGATCAAAAGGTTACAATATGATACTCTAGCATGCTGTTAAAGGATATATTAACATAATATCCTTTCCACTTTATTGGTTTTTCAGAACTCCATTTAGTCAATGGGCCAAATGTATCAGAATCGGAAAATGTATATATGAATAACAGTACTATAAATGTTTACCTTTCCTTAGATTTCTATTTCATCAATGTTAGTGCTTTATTTTTAATCAAGGATTTAAAATTATGGGAAACAAAGGGTAGAAATAAATTATCATTTTTTTCAACGGAAATAGGTAAATAGGAAGGTCCCCAAAAGGTTCCATGCTTGGACCTATGCTGTTCAACGTATTACTACATTATTTGAAAAGGGGTTTAAACAATTAGGTGACAGAGTTTGCAGTTGATAATAAATTACTCAAGATGGTTAAGTTCAAAACTGATTAAAGAATTACCAAAGTGTTTCACAGACCAGCAGGACACCCAGCCCTCAGTATAATAGACAGCCAGTTTGATGGTCTGGTCGAGGGACTGCAGATCATTCCTCTGAAATATCATCCAGAATCGCAGAAGCTATTCCACCCGCAATTACGACCATATCAGCGCAGGTGGTCATCACCACCGACCATTGGGTCTGAGCTAATAACATCTGGCTACACAATACCACTTCTTTCTCTTCCCCTTCCCTCACCCTCTCCCCCATTCCCATCCCTCTTCAGGGACCTATCTCACAAGGCCCTCCTAATGCAGGAGGCTCTATGCCTTATACATATTGGGGCTGTGGAGAGAGTGCCCGAGCAATTTCAGGGAAAGTATTTTATTCTAGTTATTTTTTCACTGAGAAAAAATCAGGGGAATGGAGACCTATCCTGGACCTTCAACAGCTCAGTCGATACCTCCGAAAACACAGGTTCAAGATGGTGACATTAGCTTCTATCATTCCAGTGCTCAACACAGGAGATTGGTTTACATCTCTCGACTTACAGGACGTTTATTTTTGTGTAACGATACACCTGGCACACAGACATTTCCTCAAATTCCTCATAGGTGCGGAACACTTCCAATACAGAGTCCTCCCGTTTGGCCTCTCATCAGCACCCAGGGTTTTCTCAAAGACACTATCAGTAGTGGCTGGGCATCTACACCGACACAGCATCATGATATTTCCGTACCTAGACGACTGCCTAATCAAGGCACCTACATATGATGATGCAGTACATGCCACCGAAATTACAAGGAAACTATTCATAGAATCATAGGACTGGAAGGGACCTCGAGAGGTCATCGAGTCCAGCCCCTCGCCCCCAAGACAGGACCAAGCTCCGTCTACACCATCCCTGACAGATGTCTGTCTGACCTGTTCTTAAATATCTCCAGAGAGGGAGATTCCATCACCTCCCTTGGCAATTTATTTCAATATTTGACTACCCTGACAGTTAGGAATTTTTTCCTAATGTCCAATCTAAACCTCCCTTGCTGCACTTTAAGCCCATTACTCCTTGTCCTGTCCTCCGAAACCAAGAGGAACAAATTTTCTCCTTCCTCCTTGTGACACCCTTTTAGATATTTGAAAACCGCTATCATGTCCCCCCTTAATCTTCTTTTTTCCAAACTAAACAAGCCCAGTTCATGAAGCTTGGCTTCATAGGTCATGTTCTCTAGACCTTTAATCATTCTTGTCGCTCTTCTCTGTACCCTTTCCAATTTCTCCACATCTTTCTTGAAATGTGGCGCCCAGAACTGGACACAGTACTCCAGCTGAGGCCTAACTAGTGCAAAGTAGAGCGGCAGAATGACTTCACGAGTTTTGCTTACAACACACCTGTTGATACAACCTAGAATCATATTTGCTTTTTTTGCAACAGCATCACACTGTTGACTCATATTCAACTTGTGGTCCACTATGACCCCTAGATCCCTTTCCGCCATGCTCCTTCCTAGACAGTCGCTTCCCATCTTGTATGTATGGAACTGATTGTTCCTTCCTAAGTGGAGCACTTTGCATTTCTCTTTATTAAACTTCATCCTGTTTACCTCTGACCATTTCTCTAACTTGCTAAGGTCATTTTGAATTATGTCCCTATCCTCCAAAGAAGTTGCAACCCCACCCAGTTTGGTATCATCTGCAAACTTAATAATCGTACTCTCTATCCCAATATCTACATCATTGATGAAGATATTGAACAGTATGGGTCCAAAAACAGACCCTTGCGGAACTCCAATTGTTATCCCTTTCCAGCAGGATTTAGCACCGTTAACAACAACTCTCTGACTACGGTTATCCAGCCAATTATACACCCACCTTATCGTGGCCCTATCTAAGTTATATTTGCCTAGTTTATCAATAAGAATATCATGCGAGACCGTATCAAATGCCTTACTAAAGGGGAGCGAAGCGGACAGGGGAGACTCTCGGACTCGTAATCAATCTTCCGAAGTCGTCCTTCACACTGCAACTGTCCCTCGAGTTATGTGTCCTCCTCCTCTAGCCAGATTTCACACAATACAAAACCTCCTTCACACTCTTTTTATCAGTCTCAAAGTCCCCATACTTACCTGCTTACAGCTCATGGGGCATATGGCAGCCACGACTTACGTAGTGCAACACACGAGACTGCATCTCAAATACTTCCAACACTGGATAGCTTCCATTTATCACTCAGGCAACCTCAACTTTTACAGATCAGTGTCAGTACTCCCAATAGTATGGGACTTCCTGGCATGTGGGCCTCTTCCACAAACATGCTTACCGGTGTTCCATTCCATTGTCCACAACCCACGTTACAGATTACGACAGACACATCTCTCCCAGGTTGGGGAGTTCACTGTGCAGGATCTCACGTTCGGGGCAATGGACCTGTAGTGGTCAATTGCGGAAGAACTTTGTACGTGCTAGTTTAGGGGTGGTGAGGCCTGCATTCCTTCCCCCCTTTTCCTTTCCCCTATATCTCATGAGCCAGAAGCAAGTCTTTGGGAACATACGCCGTTTAAGATAAGCATTGTTGCCAGCATAGCAAGAACAAGTATAAGATCAAGTTAAGAACGCATAAACAACTCTGTTTACCCTAGAGTACTGATTACGTAAACAGGGCCAAAGGACAAGAAGAACCAGATCAGAACCAGATCGATAACTAACAGCTAAGCTTTATATCAGCACTAAGGAGAAAGCCCTGGAAATTTCCAAACTGCCAAACAAGGCAGGAAAACTGTATTTAAGGCTGTCTCAGAGCCTAGCAAATAGGACGTTGCTGATGGGCTGTGGATGCCAGTGCCTCGGAAACTGAGACAACCTCCCACTTCGTCCTCGGCCTACCCGGGGTCCCAGGCCTGCAGAAGGGACGTAAGATATGCCACTTCTCTGTTATATTGTTCTTCCATCTATGGGGCACAGCTGTTGGCTGTCAAGAAATAAAGTGTTTGTGCTTGACAGATACCTGTATGGCATCCTTTGTACTTTGGGAACCCAGTGTCGGACATTAGACTTACTCTGGCCGGCTACAGGACCACACAAGAATCTCTCCAACATATCAATTTCCTTGAGCTGAGGGCAGTGTTCAATGCCTGCAAATGGTTCCTATCCACCATTCACAGTATTCAAATTCTTACCGACCACATGACCACAGTCTATTATATCAACAATCAAGGTGGAGCACAGTCCAAATCCCTCTGTGCAGAGGCGACGAGGTTATGGAACTGGTTCATTCACCATGATGTCAACATGGTCGCTTCATATCTGCTGGGCAAGGACAATACCATTGCCAATACCCTCAGCAGACACTTCTTTCTTCAACACAAGTGGGAACTCAACCACGATGTAACACAGTATCTCTTCCAACGCACGCAGCTATGGAACTGTTGCATTCAGCACCAATGTGAAGTTCCTGAAATACTGCTCCAGAGCAGGGCTGGGACCGAAGTCCCTTTGGGACGCATTCTTGCTGCAGTGGAGTTGCCATCTTCTCTATACTTTTCCACCAATTCCACTTCTTCCGAATGTACTGGAGAAGATACCAATAGATGGAGCCACAGTCATACTTATAACTCCTTTTTGGCCCAGACAGACATGGCTTCCGCTTCTCTTTCAAATGTCTCTATGCCATCCATATCATCTGCCAGAATAACCCGACCTTCTGACACACCAGGGCTGGCCATGATGCACCCTCAAATTGATCGACTGCACCTCAAAGCGTGGCTCCTAGCTGGTTCCAACAGACAGAAGTCATCAGTTCTCAGGAGGTTAAGCATGGGGTAATGCACAGTAGACATGATTCCACACAAGCAACTTACTTGCATAAATGGCATAGTTTCCACACCAGGTGTGCTGTCAATAATCTAGATTCATTCTCCATTCCTATTCATTGTATCCTTGAGTATGTACTACACCTCCAATATTCGGGCTTGGCATTACCATCCATCAGAGTTCATCTTGCGGCGATTACTGCCTTCAGACAAATGGTAGAAGGTTACTCGATCTTTGCCCATCCCATGATCAAATGATTCCTAAAAGGTCTCTTCAAGCTATAACCTCCACACAGAAAACCCCCAGTGCTATGGGATCTAGAACAGGTCTTGGACATTCTGACATATCCACCATGTGAGCTGCTAGCCACATGTGACGCAGCAATGCTTACAATGAAAATTGTTTTCTTACTAGCAATTACGTCTGCACACCAAGTAGGTGAGTTGGCTGCCCTTTCAGCCACACCACCGTACACCTTGTTTACGAGTCATGGGGTCATACTGCGCCTCCACCCAAACTTCCTACTGAAAGTGTACTCAGAGTTCCACATCAACAAACTCATAGTACTCCCAACATTTTATCCCAAACTGCACTCTTCCAACCATGAAGCCCAACTACATACCTTGGACATACTTAGAGCTCTGGCTTTCTACCTGGAGAGAACAAGTCCCTTCTGGCAATCACAAAATTTACTACTATGCACAAATGAATGAGCTAAGGAACGACCTTTGACGTCACAACGCATTTCCAAGCTGATTGTGAACTGCATCTCACACTGCTACTCACTGCGTAACAGACCCCTTCCACACACAATGAAGGCTCATTCTACCAGAGCAATGGCAATGTCAACGGCCTTCTTCAAAGGAGTCCCCTTACAGGATATCCATTGTGCGGCAACCTGGTCTTCAAACATAACATTTGCAAATCATTATGCCATTGACATTCTCGTGCATGACTCAGCAGTTGCCTCTACAGTACTCTCTATAGCAGTTAGATCATAATTCCGATTCCCATCTCCGTAGATCAGGCTACTGCTCTGTAGTCACCTATACTGGAGCACCCACAGGGACACTACCCGAAGAAGAAGAGGCAGTTACTCACCTTGTGCAGTAACGATGGTTCTTCGAGGTGTGTGTACCCATGGGTGCTCCACGACCCGCTCCCTCCCCGCTTCAGAGTCTCTTCTTTATGTCTTTCAGATGTGATCCAATTAGGAAGAATTGGTGGGAGCCGGACTGTGCACAGACTCAGAAACGGTGCTAAAGGCACACAACACCCACCGTGCATGCACAGTCCAGCTGAACTATGGCTGACAAATCTCCGACCTGTGGTGCCGGGATGAGCCCGACACCTATAGTGGAGCACCT